GAATTTAACAAAAAAAATTGTAGGAACTGTCTGATTTCTTCTTTAATTTCCTCTGTGACCCATTGGTTATTCAGAAGTGTGTTGTTCAATTTCCGTGTGTGTGTGTAATTTTTGTGGTTTCTTTTGCTATTGATCTCCAATTTCATCGCACTATGGTCTGATAATATACAGGGGATAACTTCCATTCCTTTGCACTTTCCTAAATATGTTCTATGAAGGAGTATGTGGTCTATTTTGAAGAACTACCCATGTGCAGCTGAAAAGAATGTGTATTCTGATTTTGTGGGGTGGAAAACTCTGTAAACATGTGTTAAATCCATTTATTCAAGAGTGTGATTGCGTTCTAGTATTTCATTGCTTGTATTTTTTTCCTAGTTGATCTATGTATTTGTGACAGTGGGGTATTGTGGTCCCCCATTACTATTGTATTAGTGCTTATATGATTTTTCATGTCCATTAGCATTTGTTTTATATAGTTGGGCACACTAGTGTTTGGTGGATAGATATTTATGATTGTCATCTCTTCCTCTTGGATTCTTCCCTTTACAAGGACGTAGTGTCCTTTTTTGTGTCTCTTAATCAATGTTTGTTTGAAATCCTCTTGATCTGCAAAGAGGATTACTACTCCTGCTTTTTTTCGGGTTCCTGTCACATGGAGTACTATTTTCCATTCTTTAACTTTCAGTGTATGAATTTCTTTTTGAATTAAGTGTGTTTTTTGTATGGAGCATATTGTTGGATCTTGCTTCTTGACCCACTCTGCCAGTGTATTTCTTTTGATTGATGAGTTGAGAACATTAACATTGATGCTTATAACTGATATGTATTGACTTATCATTGTCATGACTTTTTCTTTTTGTTGGATTCTCCCCCTTTTCTTTAAATTTCTTTTTGAGCCTGGTGGATTTATTCTGCTGGGCTTCCTGGGGTTGTGATCCTTGTTGTCTTTTCCTACAATTTTGTTTAAAATTTTTTGGAGTGCTGGTTTGGTATTCATGAAATCCCTAAGGTGCTCTTTGTCAGGAAAGTATCTTATTTCTCCATCAATTTTGAAAGACAGTTTTGCAGGGTACATCAATCTGGGTTGCAGGCTGTTTTCCTTTGGGGGTTGGAATATGTCACTCCAAGCTCTTCTTGCCTTGAGGGTTTGCATTGAGAAGTCTGCTGTGATTCTGATGGGCTTTCCTTTGTATGTGATTTGTTTCTTTTCTCTAACTGCTTGTAGAATTTAGTTCTTCTGTTGGGTTTCTGTAATCTTAACAATTATATGCCTATGTGTACTTTTTTTTTGATCAAGGCTAATTGGAGTCCTATATGCCTCACTTATCTGCATGTCAAGTTCTTTTCCCTTGCTTGGGAAGTTTTCTGTCATCACTTCTGTGAACAGTTTTTTTTATATCATCTGCACTCTCTCCTGTTTCTTCATTGACTTTGATCAGTCTGGAGCTTGAACTGGTCCCTGTGTGTATGTCCCTCCTAGGTTTAAATCACTCATATTTTAGAACAAGACATTAGTGTTGAGTTTCACGAAGGAATCCAGGAATGGGAAAATAAAATGTAATAGCTCATCTTGTTAGTGTTAGGAGGGACATGAAGATTAAAAGATTGAATTGTCTTCAGCAAGGCTCTGTATGTACCTACATAAAGAAATATAAGAATTGGTATTTTTTTAAAAAGCTGATCATTTTAGTTAAAATGTGAACATTGTCCTGATAACAGGGCTCACCTATAAAAGAAATGCCTTATTTCATCCAAGACTGCTTACTACCGTCCTTTTTTTTAAAAAAAAAAATCTTTTCTGGTATTTCATGATCTTCTGTTCATACCAGTTTTAGCTTTCTTTCCTCAAGTGTAAATTCTATATTTTATTGAGCCTGTTACTTTTCTTACATGATATTGAACTTTCTCAGATGTTTTTTTTCTTCTCAGGGCAAGCATGATTCAGACCTGTATAATTTCATACTCCTGTGGGACAGTGTTTATTTAAGGAATAGATATATGACCCAACAGATCTGGTGAATTCCCAACAGAATCTCAGGATGCTGCCAGAAACTAACAAGAAAGATCAGCTCTTTTTCTGCTGACACTGCGGAACTAGAAAGGATGACTGCTCTGAGCTAATAGCACCATTTTGTCACTATGTAGGAATGCTCACCTGAGAGCCAAGCTAACCCAGTGAAAGCAAGGCCTAGAGCAGGACAAAAACAGGCTTCCTCATTATATTGTTTGATTTCCTGGATCACACAGTCTGCCCTCTCACCTATCAACAACACAGGCAATAAATTTCTTTTTTGTTTAAGCAGAAGCCATTTTTAAATCAGAATTTTTTTGGTCACATGCACTTGGAAGTATTCAGATTGGAATCTGTGAACCTGTGGACAAAGTTCACAGTTTTCTAACTTCTTCACATCAACAGATGCCCAAGTGGCCCTTTTAAAATTGAGGTCAACTTTATAATTATGTATAATTTCCATGTGACAATTAAAAAATAAAAATAAACGAAATTGGGGTTCATTTCTATGCCACAGGAAATGGTAAAATAGAACCATCATGTCTGATTCATGGATGTGCAGATTTTAGAAACTAACACCCATGAAGAGGGTTAACTTACAATACTCATTTAATCTCCAAAGTAGCAAACATTTATTAACATTTATTTTTTGAAACAGGGTCTCATTATGCAGTTCAGGCTGGCCTTGAACTCACAGAGATCATCCTCTTCAGTGCTGGGATTATAGCGTGTCCCACCACACCTAGCACATTTTATGCCTTTTTATTGTATTTAAACACTCATTTTTTCAGACATGTATGCAATATATATATTTCAGTTAGCTAGAACTTAAACTATGTTCATCTAGGCAGCTTTTCCTCTGCTCATTTCAAGCTTTTTTTACTCTATCTCAGCACCTCAAAACTTATAAACCTTTTTATCTCTTGAAATGGAGGAAGTGTTTTTCTACCTAAGGTTAATCGCTCCACATATATGCTGTGTCTCAGTCCCTTGTACTTTTTTTTATTAAGTTTATTGGTACATTTTAGGTATACAATACAGTTACATTCATCATTGGGAACTTGTACTTCTCCCTTGTACTTTTTTGAAATTGTTAGTTACCCTCTTTTTCTTCAGGATCCTCAACCTTCTTCCCTCTCTTCAGTCTACTAACCAGCATTTGCACATGTTCAAACTACTCCATGTCAAATTCAAAAGCTGTCTTCACCCCATAACTCCTCCCTCCTCAACCCTACTGCCCAAAGTCTCCATTTCTTTCTACTGAACTCGCTTCAATACAAAGCCTACAATACAAAGTGGTTTTGTAGAATAGGATGGTGGGCTATAATCCCTACATTCTGGGAGGCTGAGGCAAAAGAATCACAAATTTGAGCCTAGCCTGGGCAATCTAGTGACTTATTGAGACCCCGTTCAAAATAAAAATAGAAAGGGATGGGAGTGTAGCTCAGTATGAAGACCCTGAGTTCAAACCCCAGTCACACACACACACACATACACACACACAGCTTTTGCTTAGCTTATCAATAATTCCAATCTGTAAATCTGACTAATACCAGTCTTCCTCTTTGATTTCGCTGCAGCTTCTAACACAGGGGATCCTCTCATTAAAACATCTTTGTGGTTTGATTTTTAGGACTGTACACCTTATCACTGTGATGAGGATGACTTGTGACTTCACACATCATTTTTGTCAAGTTTTCCTTTCATTGTGAAGTGTTTCTCAAACTAAGCCATAAGCCATAACCTCAGCTATGACACGGACTGGAGTGTATGCTGTACTCTACATGCAGACCTCCATACCAAGTGCTTCGTTGCTTTGACAATTACTCTCAGGAACAGGGGCTCTCTTTTTTAGGTCATTCTGTGGAAAGCCATCTTCAGAAAGGCCAGCTTACCACTGGAATTTGTATTGGATTTCTTCAGAGAGACAATATAGCAGCAGTTTCAATGAATGTGCTTCTAACCATAGCAAAAATATTACTCTTGTGAAATGAACAGAACTCAGTCATTTGTAGTTTGAAACTTAATTTGGGTGTTGGAGTGGATAGTTCTTACTTGGTTAGGATTCTCTCCCTTTTCTCTTCTGATAATTTTCTAGTGGGAGCAGTGGTGAGAGAGAGGCTTAGAAAGTTATCTTCCTAGCACTGTCTCTGTGCCTTCTTCTCTGAGGGCTCTGCGACAGTAGAACCTTCTGATCTCCTAGCACAAATAACCACACTCACTGAGTTTGAGGGTTTTTCCGCTCTTAACTAGACCACACCCGCAACTCACCTTGTTGAGAACTAGCTGCCTCTTCCTGTATTGACTTGTGCTGTCCACGCCAGCCCTCATCAACACGGATCCATTTTGGATCTTCTGTAGGGCCTGAGAGATGTGCGTGCAAGTGCATATGTGGATGTGAGGGGCCAGTATGATTGCTTATCAGGGCGGAAAAAGCCTTTTATGTGGTAGTTTCTCCTCTTCTAAAGGCCAATCTATGCTGCTTCAGGGAACTATGAGTTGTACTCTCCCAGGGGTTCAGATAGAACCAAATCATTCTGCTCTTGACTCTCAATATCTATCCACCAATTTACATCAGCCAATTCCCCTCCTCCCTCTTACCCTCTGTCACTATTGATTCTCCTAGGTACCACCAGGAGCTCCTCTTTGAATCTCTCTCCCATTTTCAATCCTCTCTTCCCTTTTTCAATGCTGGAGAGCCAATGCATGGCCTCATACATGCCAGACGAATATCTACCACTAAGGTAAATCCAGCCTAGGCAATATAGTGAGCCTCTGTCTCAAAAAACATATATGATATTCTGTGATATTATATATATATATATATATATATATATATATATATATGACATTCCCCTCAACTTTGTGGTCCATGGTCTATATCCTGAATCTTTATATGCAATCAACTTTTTTTGTTTGCTTGTTGAGACAGAATCTCATATACAACCTAGGCTAGCCTTGAACTTGTAACCTTCCTGCTTCAGCTTCTCCAGTGCTGGGATTACAGACACATATTCCACCATGCCAGCACAGTCAATTTTTTAAGAATCAAAACCAGCCTTCGTTTCTATCAAGCACCTAGCTTTTGCAAAGAAGTACTCTGGCTTTCGGACTATAATACCTTTATAATAACTAAAAAATTTAGCCAGATGTAGTGGTGTACACTTTTAATCCTAGCTACTAGGGAAGCTGAGGCAAAAGGATCACCAGTTCAAGGCTAGCATAGGCAATTTAGGGAAACTACAATTTAAAAAGAAAATTTTTTTTTAAATATGGGCTCTGTTTTCTCTTCAAAGCAATGAAGCCCACCAGAGAAAGCTACTGGGCAACAAGATAAAAAGAAAATCCTTGGATTAAAATTCACTAAATCATATAGGTAGGTAATCATAGATTTTTTTTTTTTTACTTTTTATGATCCCTTGCCAAAGATTTCATGAAAAGAGAAACTTTACAAAACTTCTGCATCTTTTAAATAGCCAATTTCAGCAATCCTTTCATCCCTCTAATTTTTCAGCAATTAACTATAAGGAAGAAATAGTAAAACTACAAGCAACATTACAAGGTACAATATGTTTTTGTGCTTCTGCTTTTATAGTTTCTTTTGGCATAACCGAAAAGTGGGGAATATTTTGTATAACACTGGGATTTTGATTAATTCAGCATGTGTAATTACATGGCTTTTTTGTTAGTCCTACCTAAAGTGATTTTTTTGCTTGATTATTCTGACTTAAGCATTTTTACATCAAACTACATTTATTGAAAAAATTAATTTCATAATTTATCATTATGTATAAAAATTGAAATTAATTTTAATCTTACAGTACACATATACCTAGAATTGGAAACGTTAACAATAAGCTTGCAGTAACAGTGCGTGTTGTAACTGCGAACGATGTAAAGTGGAAAATAATCCAAGGGAAAAAAAAAAACTCTTAAGAGGGAAAGGGTTGGGGCGGTAAACAAGTATTTTCATTCTGCCTCTTCGCTATTTGTCCAGGTGGGGCTAACACCGTTAATTTAAGGAAATACAACTACAGACGTACGATGTTGTTGGTGCACAGTTCTGTTACATCACTGATCAAAAACGCGCGAGAGAGGAAGCAGGAATTGTCTGAGCTGAACTAGAGATCTAAGAAACTGCGGAAATCAAACCCAACGCCTGCGGAGCAGGGAGTTACTGACTAGCTTCAGAGACTGCACCTCTTACTGGCAACACCGAACTGGATTAACCCCAACATTATTTTTAATGTTACTATCTAACAGGCACCCCCCCCCCCGATTCCTAAACGAGCTCCTATACCGAGACAGTTTAGGAATGCTTCGCCAGTTTACTGTAAAACAGCGCGTGAAGCTGTTTTCCAGCATATCAATTTTTAAAAATGGAAGCGAGCTTTTGTTTATTTTGGCCCCGTTCAAAAGCGAGCGTCGTAGGGCGGAGACCCACAGGCCGCGCAGCTCAAGGTCTGTCAGGGCGCAGTCCTTGAGGACTTTGCCCGGGACCCGCAGCTGGGCCGCCTAACTTGGGAGTCCGGGCCAGGGAGGAGAGAGTGGGACGGGGTGGGGGCAGTCGCCAGATCGCACGCAGCGTCATAACGTCCAGCGGGGCGCTCGGGTTTCGGTCGCGGCCCAGGGCGCCACAGGCGAAGCCCAGTTGCGGCCCGCCCTAGCGGGCGGGACGCGTCCAGCGCCTGCCTCCCTCACCCCACCCCCCGGGGCTCGGCTGTGCGTCGCAGTGGCCCGGACGCCGCAAAGCGTCCTGGGAGAGTCGGCTCGCACCGGAAAGACGCGCAGGCGCGCGGCGACGGCGAGGTTATAAAAGAGAAGGAGCCGGCGGTAGGCGGAAGTGGGCGGTTCAGCTGCTCCCGTAGCTGTTGTTTGGTGTTTGGGCCTCTCGAGGGGCGTTCTCCGGAGGGCCGCCGGTGCAGGCCGCAGTGACAGGGCCGCTCGCCCCTGTGCACCCCGCCTCTTTCCTGGCGCACGTCTGCTCGCGCCTTCAGCGTCCTGCAGGTCCAACATGGCGCAGGAGGTGTCGGAGTACTTGAGCCAGAACCCACGGGTGGCCGCCTGGGTGGAGGCGCTGCGCTGCGAGGGCGAGACTGACAAACACTGGCGCCACCGCCGGGAGTTTCTGCTTCGCAACGCTGGGGACCTGGCGCCCGCTGGCGGCGTTGCTTCCGCTAACACAGACGAAGCTGCAGACGCCGAGAGCGGGATCCGCAGTCGGCAGTTGCAGCAGCTCATCTCTTTTTCCATGGTTTGGGCTAACCATGTCTTCCTTGGGTGCCGGTGAGTGAGGAAGCGTCTCTACCCAGTCCTTTCCCTTTTGTCTTCCGCCCCCACACTGGGTAGCGGAGCTGGCCGCGGGACCGGCCTCGGTGGGGAGGGGAAGTTGCGAAGCGCGGGAATGCGCGGGACCGGCTGCCCTCTAGGGCGAGAAGGGCGTCCCTGCGAGCAGCCAACAAAAATTCAGACAGTCACAAAAATTCGCAGTCGGTAGGTTCTCTCATCTGGAAGGCTGTCGGTGGAGTTGTTGGCATTGAGCCGGAAATGCTTTTTCGGATGGACACCAGATTTAAAGGTCAGTACGCAGAGACCCGCCTCCTAGACTGGTCGTTTGTTTGAGGTTCCAGGAAACGGTTCTTGGCAGTTGGTGCACGTTCTTAATTGCAACCAGGAAATGCAGTTCCTGTGGCCTGTTTTTCACACCACAACTACTAGCTGAGAATAACCTGACTTTTAAAAAGTGACTTTTTTTCTTTTTTAGGTACTCTCAAAAAGTTATGGATAAAATTCTTAGTATGGCTGAAGGCATCAAAGTGACAGATGCTCCAATCCATACAACAAGAGACGAACTGGTTGCCAAGGTGAAGAAAAGAGGGATATCGAGTAGCAATGGTTAGCAGATCATAGATGTGAACATACATAGGAGTTTAGAAAATAAGTTTGATATAATTAGGAATTATTGCTAACACTAACCAAAATTTATATAATGCTTTTAAGTTGAAATGTTAAATCTATAAATTACCTGCCTATGTGTTTTAGGCTCTGAATTTGATAGTTTCCTTTGATTGCTTTAGAATTTGAAGTGTCTTCTGTTGTCTGATGCTATTGGTTTTTTAATATTAGAGTTTGATGATGTTAACACTATATTAAGAAGTTAATGACGTTATTCTGCATTTAAACTACTACTGAAACAATTTTACCTTGTACCTTTCTTTTAATGAATATCTGTCTTGTCAGCTGAATCTGTGAAGTATTCCTAGTCAAGTATCTGTTTTCCTTCTTTTTAGAAGGGGTAGAAGAGCCATCCAAAAAACGAATTGTAGAAGGAAAAAACAATTCTGCAGTTGAGCGAGATCTTGCAAAAATTTCTGCCAAAACAGAACGAACATCAGCTCAGCAAGAAAACAGTTCAACGAGTTCAGGGCCATCCAACAAGTCAGAGAGTAGTGGTAACTCCACTAGGAGTTCTGGCATCTCCACTCAGAATAATTCTACAAGTGAAGATCGATCTGTTTCCAGCCAAAGCAGCAGCAGCAGCAGCAGCATTTCCTCTCAGGTAACAGCAGGATCTGGAAAAGCTTCTGAATCTGAAGCTCCAGATAAACATGGTTCAACAACATTTGTTTCTTCATTGTTGAAATGTAATGTGAATAGTCACATGACTCAAACCACTGATTGCAGACAACAAAGTGGATCACCAAAAAAGAGTGCTTTGGAAAGCTCTTCAGTCTCAGCTTCTCAGAGCAGCTCAGAGATTGAGGTGCCCTTGTTGGGCACCTCTGGAAGCTCAGAGGTAGAATTGCCATTATTGTCTTCTAAACCTAGTTCAGAGACAGCTTCAGGTGGGCTAACTTCCAAAACTAGTTCAGAGGCAGGTGTTTCATCATCAGTATCTAAAAACAGTTCCTCATCAGGCACATCATTACTAACTTCCAAGAGCAGCTCAACAAATACATCACTGCTAACTTCCAAAAGCACTTCCCAGGTAGCTGCATCATTGTTTGCTTCCAAGAGCAGCTCCCAGGCCAGTGGATCTCTGGTTTCCAAAAGTACTTCTTTAGCAAGTGTGTCCCAGCTTGCATCTAAGATTAGCTCACAGAGTAGCACCTCACAGTTGCCTTCTAAAAGTACTTCACAGTCAAGTGAGAGCTCAGTCAAATTTTCTTGTTGCAAGTTAACCAATGAAGATGTAAAACAGAAGCAACCTTTCTTCAATAGACTGTATAAAACAGTGGCATGGAAGTTGGTAGCTGTTGGTGGCTTTAGTCCCAATGTGAATCATGGAGAGCTCTTAAATGCAGCTATTAAGGCTCTAAAAGCCACCCTGGATGTGTTCTTTGTCCCGCTAAAAGAACTGGCAGATCTGCCTCAAAATAAAAGCTCTCAAGAAAGTATTGTTTGTGAATTGAGGTGCAAGTCTGTGTATTTGGGCACTGGCTGTGGCAAAAGCAAAGAAAATGCAAAAGCAGTTGCATCAAGAGAAGCATTGAAGTTGTTTCTGAAGAAAAAAGTGGTGGTAAAAATATGTAAAAGAAAATATAGAGGCAGTGAGATAGAAGATCTGGTACTCGTTGATGAAGAAGCAAGACCTGTAAACTTACCTCCAGCATTAAAGCATCCTCAAGAATTACTATAATATGTCCAGAATAATCATTACTACAATATCTAGTATTTGAAGAGAAAAACTGGCTTACTTTTTGTATGAAACAGGCTTTCACAAATTTTGTATTGCTTTTATCGAGTTTTGCAGAAAATTTACATTCTAGTTCTCTTCACAAAAGTAGTTGTAAATACTTAATGACAGTACGTGTTAAAAAGTATGCATTAACAGCGTACCAGTATGCTGTTTTATTTGCTAAAGAAAATACCGTCTTCTATTTTTAATGATACATTAGGTACAATGTGTAGCTCTGTAGAGTCTTAAAAATTTTTATACTACTTTGAATTTGGTGAAAATGTATTAAGTTGTCTACCATGCTTTTTTTTCTAACTGAATAAACCACATCAAAGAAAAAGGGACCGCTGTATTTAAATGTCTAAAAGTCTGTCAAATTTAAGGTTTTAAGAATGTTGCCCATAATGTTGAAAATGTCTGTTAAAGAATAAAAGAAAAATAGTTGCTTCAGACTATTTTTATGAGAAGTTGTAAGCATTTTTTAGATAAAATAGTATAAAGTACTTTCTCTGAAGTTGTTTAAAATTCACCATAATTTGGACCGATGCTGATTCTTTAAATGGGTTAATTTATGTTTTGAGGTAAATTTACACTTTTTATTAAAGACATAAATGTGGGTTTCTATATTAAGCATATTTTGTGACTACTACTAACAGATTGGTTTGTTTAGATATTAAATGCTTTAAGCTATTTTGCATTTTCAAGAAGTTGTGTTTTTTTCTTCTTCCCTAAATCAGGGCCAAATCTTGCAGATACACTTTTCTGCTACTACTCAGTAAATTATAATCAGGTAATTTTTATAGTTATACACAACTTTTTATGCAGAGGGAAGATACAGTTTTCAAATCTAAGTAGATTTTGTGTTTATAAATCTCAGAATAATACT